TTATATTTTGTGAATGAAAGCATTGTAATGTTTACTGATAATCTGCCAAATTTTGTTAACATATGGTTACTAATTTAAAAGTTATAGCATGAAAACTATAAAAAGCACAAAATGGTTACAAGGTTGGTCCCGGGGACCAAGCCCGTGCTGAAAGAGTTAATGAACTAAGGTGCTTCAGAGGCATTAAACATATTTACTAAATATGTAATAGCACACACAAAAGTAATAATTACATAGCAAGCTATTTATTTTAATCTTTTGGTTATTGTTCACATTTTGCTTAAGTCATTCTGTTAAATTTAAAGCATAATTTCTGGTTTGTCAAATATGCAATACTGGCTATATAGGTACAGCAGGAAAGAAAAAGAGGGGTATTTGTGTGTGTGTATGCACACACACACATATATATATATATATATATTACTTTAGGACATTGTGATTTTTATGAGATGGGCCTACATAGGATCATAATTGGCTCAACATGAGAATTTCAATCACCTGTAGGCTTATGAACTACAACTTCTTTAAAATATAGTACAGGTTTATGTATGTATAATTAATAATAACTTCTGAGTGAAAGTAAAGAAGAATGTATGATAATATATCAACCACAATGTATCTGCTATTTCGAGTGTCAACAAGGCCTATTGTTCAATATCAAGGCTCTTCAGACCAGCAAGGATACAAAAGACACTAGTTATATTTAATAGCAAATTGCTTGACAATGACTGTTATGACATGAATTGGATTAAGTTGACAAAGTATAACTTTTCATCAACTTTATGTCACAACCCATCATAACTAGGGTAAAGATATTTTAACACTATTATTTATTCATTTTAACACCATATATTATTGAGAAGAACTAGCAAACCAGGAAGCAGGTCTTTTTGAAATAATAGAATGGCTTTGTTGACCTCCATTTAAACAGAGGCAACAAGTATTAGGATATAAACAAAATACAAATGAACTTGAAAGGATTGATAATGTTTATATATAGGCAATAAAACATTAGAGATTTATATAATATATGCAAATTTCTAAAAATGTTCACTAAAATGTAAAATATCCTATATCAATCTTTATTTATTAGAAGTGGTAAGCTTTAATTTGGTGATTTTTCTTGTTTTGATGAGTTTCTTGTTTATTTTAATTTGTTTGTGTGCTTTTTTCAGTGGTTGAACCTATTTAATTGACTGTTTATCTTGTTGTTTGTTGATCAGTGATTCTTATTTGGTTTTAAGTTTAATGTTGGTAAAGTAAACTTCAAATATTGACTTTGTACATATGATTTATATCCATTGCTTTTTCTGTTGTTTTCGAAGTCAGTATATATGATTTATTGGGACATTGATTAATTACTTTTATGGAGACAGTAATAAAGTCTCATCATAAAGACTTTATGAGAAGAATAACTTGCTTTGAATGCTCTTGTTGTTGTTTTTATATAAACCTAATAGTATAAATTTATATATTCAATTTAGTTTGTCTATACACACACACAAACTAATGTAAAAAGAAAACCTAGGTAAACCCTGAAAATGTTTGTTCAAACTGTCTGCTGTTTTTGTAATAAATTGATAGCCTTACTTTATGTGGTGTTCATTAGATTATAATCAAAATTATGTTGATGTATTGGCAGTTTTTGTAAAGATAAATAACTGCCATAATAAAGCAAGTAAGAATTTGTGTGAAAGGGTTACTTTTGGATTATAATTTCAGTTACATTTTCCCTTATCCCAAGTTAAGTCACTAGGGAATAATGAATCCAATAAAAAGTTAAGTTTATATTAATAGTGTGAGAAAAATCATGAATAAGCCTTTTTAGTGTGCATTTACTGTTTTGATTATCAATAAGGTATTGCTCTTTGGTTGAATAAATTGATTTTTGACTTTTGGTGAATTAGCCAATACTAGTACATATTGGTACTTGGTTCTTATTTTTGTTCTTGATGTTTTTTATATGGGTTCATTCTCTTGAAAACCATGATTTTGTTATTTTAAGACATTTTATTATTGTACTTATTTGATATTTCATATATTTTTTGCAGTTGTTTTAATGTGATTTATTTCTACAATGCAGTGGATAGTATACCTGCATAGTTTCTTTGTCGTTATTGGAAATACCTTGTAAACATTCAGTCTCCTGTTTATTCTTATCATGGTCTTATATTATCTGTTTTGATTATATTTTGATTTAAGGCTTACATGTATGTTCTTGCCAGTTTATTAATGTCTGGTTTACTAGTTGTATGACATAATTATTATTATTATTATTCTGTTCTCCAGACTATTAGCTATGAATGAATCTTCTAGCAACATGATCCAGTCAACTGCAGGTTCATTATCTCCATATGCACCTAACTACCAATACCTGCAACAAACCACAATAACGTCTTCTCCTAGAAATGTACCCAGACCTCACCCTCCACCACTAGGCCAGAGAGAACGCTCAACTTCAGCTCCTAATGTTTGTTACAACACAGTCAATCATGATATGACATTGGAGGTAAGGGCCTAAAAATTTAGAAATTGGGGGATATATGTATACACACACATAAATATATATTATATATATTAATTTTCATATTTGCAGACAGTTTTGGTGTTTCACTTTGCTTTTGAAGCACATACCCACTAAAGGTGGTACATTATTGGCTCTTACAAGTCAAATCATAAATGCACACCTCATGTCAAACATGAATTAATTATCACAAAGATAAACATATTTAGACAAGGCTACTGTACTTTTTTTATTAATTCCAAATATTATTAAATCAATAGTGAAAAACAATACCTTTAGAAATTAGAACCTTTTCGTGTACTTTGAGCATAGCTGTGTAGCATAGCTCTCATCATTGATACTAATTAGATTTATATGTGTATTAAATTACAGTATGAAATATACAACTATTTTGCTGTAAATAAAATAAAAATTGTATCTTTTTATTCTTAACCATGGTCTATAATTTTCATTACTGAGCCACTTTTTTTTTTTCTTATCCCATATAGTTAAACATTGATGCACTAGTACAGTCCAAATAAACATAATGGAATATGAAATACTGATTAAATGACTGATATGCCATTAAAATTGTTAGAATTACAACTTATTATCCAGATTGAGAATGAGAAGATACTGTAAGTTTATGGCTGGAAAAGACTTCTATACACCTAGTAACTTAGATATCTTTATCTGCTTCAGAATATTACATTTTTTCATGCTTTAAATATCCAAGTTAAATATCAAGGGTTGCCTCTAATTTTACAGATGAATACTTCACTTTAGAAACATGAAAAAGATTAGTTAAATTTTTTCACATTTCATCTACAAACTGCTACAAAAAACATATATTAAATAACTAAATACATTTAGAAATAGCTTTGTCATTGAATTTTGAATGTACCATTGCAAAATTGATTTTACCACCAACAAGTTGCACTGAGTTAAGAATTTATCAATAAATTCAGACTAGCAATGACTTTGGATAATAGAAAAACTCAAAATCAGAGATTTATACTGTTATGTTTGCTTTTGATATGTGTTATAATATGTTACTAGTATAATCTTTTGCTGTTTTGTTAATTTTATTGGTAACTTAATTTTTATAATATTGCTATGTTGGGTATATGATAATGACTAATGAAAGTTACCACAAAGTTGCATAAATATCAAATACAACCCATGTAAACATTTGGAGAATTTTCACAAGGTTGGATTTTTTTAAATGTCCTAATTAGAGCAAGTCATCTTGAAGTACTTCATAATTTTACAGGAATTTGCACTTAGGCTTCGATCACAGAATTCGTCAGGTGGTAAGTGTTAGTTTCAGCTTTTAAACATTAATTTTCTAACATGAACTTGTATATATATCTGGATATAAAATTCAAAATCTTTACACAAGAATAGTACTTATGAGAATATGTGCCTACATTAGTTTCCCTCATGTTTCAAGTATAACCATTGCACTTGAGTTAATTTTATGATCTTTCATTATACTATCTTTGCTCTGTCAGATGTTGAACATAGTATGTATTTTAATAGGTTTAAACTCATGTGATATCACTTAGAAGTTTTGAAAAAATATGTGATACAATAAAAAATCTAGTTCACTCTGCAAATTACATAATTGTTTTTTCATACAATCTATAACAGGATAAACTTGTCTTGATATAAAATTTTTAAACTTTGGATACTAAATGTTATTCATTTCAGTATATGAAGATGTGCAGATTTATTTCATTGTTCAGAATGTAAAATTCATCATTTACTGTTGTTGATTTTAAAAAGTTTGATACCTGTTCTTTTATCTGAAATGACTGGGCCTTTTTTCAGAGCTGAATGATAGTGAAAAGTAAATAAGATCAGCTTTCTAAAGGAAAACACTTGATTTTGAACAAAATAAGAGATTTTCTTATTCTTATAAAGCAATGTTTTTGCATTCTGAAAACAACATTGAAGCAGAAGTACGTTATTATTATTAATAGCTCTGATCAATAGCCTTTTATGATTTGAACATTCTGTGTAAGAAAGCTATTGTCATGCCCCTAGGATCTATACATTTTCAACTTGATTTATTCTTAATTTCATACAACTTATGAATTGAAGCTCTGGAAAAACAGTACAACTAATACATTGCTAAGAGTTCTGAAAATCAATTTCATGGATTGAAGGATGAAGTCAAATTATTGTAACACATTAAAATGTCACATATATATAAAAATTCACCCTGTATAAATCATGATCTCGGTTCCTCTCATTTTCTCTGCTTAGTAGATTTGTCAAGGGGTTTTAATTGTATACATAAAATAGTTATTGAGCTTTGGGGGGGGGGATAAAAGTTATTAAATTATTTGATACATGCATTATTACATTATACAGTAAGGAGTACTTTTCATTAGATTTTCTTCCTGTGAGACAAGCATAAAATCCCAAACTCTACTTGCTTGGCATTCTCTGTCATTTGATCTTTGACCTCACTTTATTTCTTCACTTATATGAATATGAAATCTCTATATATGAAAATATATTCCCATCTGACTTCATTTATGCCTAAGAATGAGTTTGCCTGATGAAGGAATGCATTAATAGTAATAGTTAGTTATCTTCATTAGTACTTTTTAGAACTTTTGATGACATTGTGTTATTCCTCACTAGGAAGGGAAAAAATGGTGGTAGAAACAACAATGACAAGCATGGTAGATGTAGTTTTATTTATAGATAGATGTAGATAATACATTCACAAAGATATGAACCATTTCTAATCTACATTGTACAAATTGTATTTTTTATAACTGAAATTTATTAAACATCAGTAGTCTTTCAGTGAGAAAAGTATTTTTAAAACTGCTGTTTTGGCTTTCAGCAGGTAGGTTTTGCTCACCTTGTCACTAATTAATGATAGAAATAAAAACCAAATTCCAAATGATTTTATGTTAGTAGGTTTTACAGAAAGATTATGAGCATTTAAGTTTCAAAAATGTAAAATAAATTCCAAATAGTTATGTTAATATTTCTTCCTGAAATCATAGATTAAAATATCATTATTTTGCAGGAAACTATGGAATTTCCAGTTTATTTAAACTTTGATCATTGAATATAAAATTCATTCTTGTTAAGTACCAAATTGAATCTTTTTAGTTGCTTTTAACTTATGTAACTACGGGTGACATCTTTTAAAATCTAAAGATCTTAACAGTTACACAAAATAATATATAATAGTATTTTTATTATTGTTATCAAAGTAAATTATGTAATCAGTTAACTGTTACTCGCTGGTTCTGTCAGGCAGTTTCAAATACACACTACTTTTGACTCATCAATTAATATATACTTTTATACATTTAAGTTCTCTACTAAGAAATATCGAATCATTTTCTTTTATCATCCCATTGTTCTGATGACTACTTGTAATATTAGTAATTACAGAAGAAGAATCAAACAATTTCAAATCTTTTATGCGCTACTATTAAGCTATAGAAACATTACTGTAAAAGACAGTTTTATAATTTATCTAAAAAGCCAAGAATGTATCTGCATTGTTATATGTTCTTCTAACTCCATCATAAAGCTGACTAGCATTTAAAAACAACTAATTTTCTAGAAACTTGAGATAATGGCTGTCAACCTTGAAAACATAATGAAAGGAGAGAGTGCTATTAATTGGACTTTACTAACCTGCACGCTCCTTCATTCAAACCAGTGATGAATTTGCATGTTCAAGTCTTTTTCCATTTCCCTGCATGCTCTAGTGTCTTCTCCCTTGACCCCTCGGCATGAGATTTTCTATCGCTCGCACACAGATAAAGGCAGCCCAACGCATTCGCCAATGTCCAAGCACTGCCAACTTGAGTTACCGAGTCCAGGAGGCAGTAAGTGCCACCTTACAAGTTAAATATATTTGTGATACTTAAACTTTAACCAAAAGAAACTTTTTTTACAAGTTTCATAACTCTTTGATATGTCAGAATTTAACTTATTTTTAGCTTCATAGTTTGAAAATAGTAGATTTTAATTTGAAGTAATAGTAACTTTTATGGACAATTTTAAAGAAAATTACTTTTTGAATACTTTTTATTCCTTTTTTTTTTTTTGCAGGGAAACACTACATTCCATGACATCATCTTTTTGTATGCCATTAAAAATGACTCTTATATACACAATGCACACATATTTTACCAATGCTCTTTCTCTCTAATGTTACTAAAATTCCTCTTTGTTTCATTAACCATGAGTGTTTTAGTTGTTTTATCATGTTAAACAGATAAATAATTTTGTTTGGAACTCTATTTTGCAAATAATACATTTGAATTTCATCTTTTTTTTAACCAAAGAATACCAGTTTGGGGTCACAATGACCCTATACCACTTGATGTTAATGACTGAAAATTTAATGTTAGCATTCTAGGGTTAACTTAGGTAATACTGAAGTGTTCAGATGTTTTTAGAATTCTCTCTGTCTAGTATAATTAGTACTTCCTGGTTATCTGTAGGTCCTGGCTCACTGGCTCCACCTTATCAGCAGAGCTCTGCTTCCACTAATCATAGTCCAAGTTCCAGTCCAACCAGAACACAAAGTGCACAGGGCTCGCCAACCAATATCCACAAACCTTGGAGACCTCGAGCTAGGTCTGCTGATGAAAGTTCCAAAAAAGTAGTAAGTACATTGTGATGTTTTATGTTGTACTCTAACAAGTAGCAGACCTTGCCATAACTTTGTGTCCAGTACTTTCTCTTCTTGATTTTTGTATTCGTGTACTATGTAATCTAGCATATGAAGCATCACTACTGTCAGCTTGCCCTTTTTTTTAAGTTGCACATGTGTATACACAAGTACTCATTTAAAACTGTTTGGATGATTGATGGCTGTAATATTCTGCTTGACAAATTCCATTTAATTCATGAACAGAGGCTTTTGCTGTCACATTATAACCTCTTGTCTTTTACCTCTTTGTTTATATACTCTATCGTTTATAACATTTTATTTAGGAAATTATTTTCTGTGCTACAAGAATAAATAACACATTGGTTATTTATATGTATAACTAATATGTAGTATTTGTTGTTGTAGCACAGTAAATTATTCAAGAAAAGTGAAAGATAGTAGAGAATTTTAAAATTGTAAAATAAGGAACTAACATTAAATTTAAAGATTCCATGTTGAATGTGATGGAGATCTACAACATACAATAGTATTAATCCATGCAGAAGAACTGTCTGCACTCATTAAGACTAATATTTTACTTAAATAGGCCACATTTATCAAAAGCTTTGAAAGAATTCTCTTTTGAAGAATGTTTCAAAAATTGTTTGTAGCATGGGTGAGAAAAGAATCTGATTTAAAAAATCATGATTTGTTTAATAACAACTGATATTATTTTTAGAACAATCATAATGTTTATGTTATAGATAATACAAAATTCAGTAGTTTATTTAAAACTATTTTTTAAATGTAATTTTACTTGTATTTTACAAAACTGTCTTTATCCTATTTGTATTTGGTGGATTGTAATGACATCTGTACATCTTCAAATGATTTATGTAACCAAAAAATGATTTGCTGTTTCAGTTTGTATTCTAGCTTTTTAAATTGCGAGTCAGTCTACTTACTAATATCATTTATTAATTTAATAAAATATCAACTCTGAAGTGCAGTTTTAACAAATAGAGATAATCGAACTATACAAGATGCTTCTTAAATCAGGTTTTTAATAAATTTGTATTTGTAGCAGCGGACAACCAGGGAATCAATTGAAGACTGGGAGATCCCTTCCAATGAAATTCTTACTGGTCCAAGAATAGGTTCTGGATCATTTGGAACTGTATACAGGGCTCACTGGCATGGTAAATAAGGTCGTACTAGAAAGCTAAGAAGTTGTGCCAGTAGAAAACTAGGCACTGTATACATAGCTATAAAGTAAATACTTGCACCTTTCTACCAAAATACAACTGTTTTTTTTATATTTTAACTTTGAATTGATGATTAACCATAGTCAAGTAGCTAGCTCTTAGATTATGCCAAAAAGCATGTTCTGTGGAAATTTGTAAACAGTAGAATTTATCATGTATGGCTTTCTTCTGTTTTATAGGCCCAGTAGCTTTGAAAAAATTGAATGTTACCAATCCTACTCCTGCCCAGCTTCAAGCCTTTAAAAATGAAGTTGCTGTGTTAAGGTAAGAGATTTCCTCTAGTCTTACCTCCTGATTGAATAAAATACAAAGACCTTATAATTCCAAGGAACATGTTTTTATTGCCTTACAACTTCATCAGAGATACACTTAAGCTTGTGTTCTTTCAGTTCCTAAAGATGATATAAAGCAAAACATAGGATAATAAAAACAAATGGTTTATATAGTTATTCCTATTTTTATCAATTTTGTCATCTATACTTCAGTCATCACTGTATTGGTTAAATTACTTTTTGATGTTGAACTTTTTCCATTACATTCTGTAACTTCTGAGAACTTTTTATTGTTAGGAAAACTCGTCATGTGAACATTTTACTATTTATGGGTTGTGTGTCTAAGCCTCATCTTACTATTGTAACTCAGTGGTGTGAAGGCTCTAGTCTGTATAAACATCTTTATGTCCAAGAATGCAAGTTTGAAATGTTTGAACTTATCAACATTGCCAGACAAACTGCTCAGGGAATGGAGTAAGTGTTACGTTATATATATACATATATATTATTTAGAATGCTTAATATATTACACAGATAATATGTGTAATGAAAGTTGTTGTTACTCAATCTTCCATTAGAATATTTAAAATCTTTACTGATACAAGTCTCTAATTAAGTCATATGTAATAACATTTATTTAAAAGATGTTTTTTCAGCTTAACTTGAACTCCATGATATGCTAAAGCATCATTAGTAATTTTTTGTAATATAACTTCATTAACATCTCATTGCTAATGTAAAATATTTTATCTTTATTGTCAACACAAAATAACTGTATTTGTATTATTTCTATAGCTATCTTCATGCTAAGAATATCATCCATAGAGACCTGAAGTCAAACAGTATCCTTTTTTGTCACAGCCATATATGAATTGTTATTTCTCTATCATGTACAAGTGGTCCCCCGGTGGGACAGCGGTAAGTCTTCGGATTTACAATGCTAAAATCAGGGACACAGCAGATAGCCCAATGTGACTTTGCTATAAGAAAACACACACACACATGTACAAGTGTGTTTACCAGTGCTATTTTCCTTTATCACTCCCATGAATATATTGTATTTAAACACCATAATTATCTTTATCTCCTATTCTCATTTTATGCTAGTGGTTTGAAACATTTTGTGATATTTGAAATTTTGTTGAAGTGTTATTGATTTTTTTATACTATGTTTAGTTAGTGTTTTGTTTTAAAAAATTACCTGCTAAATATTTGTAAGTAAACATTTTTTTTAGTTTGTAGTATCATTTTTCAGATTAGTTTTGTATATAAAAACTGAATGTTTGCCAAAATTTAGCCAGTTGTATAAAAAGTTGAAACTTGTTATTTTGAATTTCAATAAACTTACATACTAGTACGACTTGGTTAATATTTTATTTTTTTCTTGCTTAGAGATTAAAGTTAGCCCATCATGTAATTATAAAAGGAGTGCAGTGTTATTGGACTTAATAATTTTTCAAGAAAATGCATCATTATTCACAGCTTCAGTGAACAACAAAAAATGCTATATTACGCCAATAAATAGTTTTCCAACCAGCCCTGTATTACCCAGATATTTCTATGTTTTGATTTAAAATAGCTCATTTTCCCCTTTAAATCTATAAATTGATAATTTTCCCCAATATTCTCACCAAACATTTTTTGATGATAAATTATACTAAAGTTCTGGTACTTGTTCATAAAATAATACTTCTTGTGGCATTAAATTTCACGTTATAAGTAGTTATTACCCTTCAATTCAAAATGTATATTTTTTTTTCTCCGGGCTTCTTAGCTTTGTTAGAACATTAAGCATTTTTAGGTTTACATTTCAAAGCTAAGGATATGAAATTAAAAGGTGCTGGCAGAACAAGCAGAGAATGTATATTATATATATCAGCTTTCCATAGCTGAATGCAGTTACTAAGGTAAATTGCTAGTGAAAGATAAACCTGTGTTGTTCTAATGAATTAAAAAACTAAGTAGGTGTGTGCAAGAGATTTCTTGAATCAATTTCAATTACAAAACTGTTTAAATTTGTGGTTTTCATTTAACATTATTATGAATCGGTAACAATTTCAGTTTGAAACTGCATATATTTGAACAGTGGTCAACAAGTTGACTAAGCAAAATAATTTTTCTGCCCAGCATCACCAAAATAATAAAAGTCTTGACATAGGAATTTTTGAATATCTTGTGATACATTTTGATTGTTTCTTACAACTTTTGCACTGTTTCTAAAATCAAGAGACAGTATTATATAAGCTCCAGTAGCTGCTCACTAAGTGATGAGCCATGGGAGTTGCAGTCTATCGGACTTTTTAAACATTAATTACAAGAACTACTGTAAATGGGTAAATTTTTCTCATTTTGTTTTTTCTTAGTAATATGCTTTTTAGACACTTTTCCCTGTATTTTTTACAAGAATATCTTGTATTTAGCCACATTTTCTCTATAGAATCTGGTTGAAGGCCCAACCATTGGATTTTATTAACAAAAATAATGAAACTATAGGACAAGATGATTAGAGAAATAAAAAATATTTTCCCTCATTCAGATTTGTTAAACTTTTGTGTACAGTTTATGATCAAACTTTTTAACATGATTGATATACATGTATGTTTTTTTATCTTTTATAGCTAATCCACAACCTGTTTGTTTGTAGTTAAGCACAAAGCTACACAATGGGCTATCTGCGCTCTGCCCACCATGGGTATCTCAACCCAGTTTCTAGTGTTGCAAGTCTGTAGATACACTTCTGTGCCAATTGGAGGCTACAACCTTAATAATAACCAAAATATGGCAATATGAGATAATAGTTAAGGAAAAGCTAAAGAACTATCATAATTTTTCTAAAGTAACAGAAATAACTCTCTCTCAGATTTGTATATCTTAAATACTCTGTCACTATTAGCAAAAAAGTTTGTGTGAAGAAAATCTTTATGAAACTTCTGATAGAAAAGGTAATGGAAAATATCTAGTATCAAAGGTCTGTATTTTATTTTCTTCATTTTATGCTTAACTCGGCTTTAGATATCTTTCTCCATGAAGACTGGACTGTCAAGATAGGAGACTTTGGTCTTGCAACTGTGAAAACCAGGTGGAGTGGATCAGAACAATTTAATCAACCAACTGGGTCAATATTGTGGATGGTGAGGTTACATGGTAGTCTGTATACTACTGGCATTAAAAATAATGTGATACTGGTATAACCAGAAATGGGTTTTATTCTCCTTTTATTTAAATGATTGGTTTATCTAAAAGAGGGATGATAATACGATGTTTCTGATTCAAACACAAAAGATACTCTGAGAGTGTGATAATTACTTCTGTTTTATTGTCATCCATATTCAGTAAGATGGTAGATTGTATAAATGAATAGTTAACATCTCATTGTAAGAAATCTAACCATTAAAGTTGTTTTCCTCAGCAAAAATTTAGATCATTGTTATACTCTTTAGTCAGAGATGGTGTTAGGGTTTTAAAAAATGCATACTGTGAATTTGTGGGTAACCAAATGTGTACATGTGTCAACAAACAAGACAGTATAATTTTGTACATGAGGTGCCAACTCACTGATTCAGAATGGGCTGATCACAGTTCTGGCTAGCTACCAGTATTCTGTATAGACCATCATCAGATATGTGATAAACATTGAACAAAATAAAGAACTTTGACTGTGATTGAATCGTTAAGTATAAAAATGTCCGGTTGAGAAGTGGGTGTTAAAACGAAAAAGTACAGACAGAGTATTTTACCTAAAATAGGTGACATTTGTGTTTGCAGAATGTTAGTCTGTAGTGGAGAGTGCCCAGCAGTCAAGTTGATGGCAGTGGTTGGACCAGTCTTATAAAAACTTGAAAGGCATTTTTTCATTATTACAAAATTCTAGACCACACAGTTTTGTTAACTAAGCATTGCACGTCAAAATAGTCTTTATGCAAATTTTATAATATTGTTGATGATACCAGAGTATGTGCCAAAAACTACTTTAAAGTTATTTGCATTTACAGGGAGGATCTAGTTTTGGATTTGTTTTTGAAATTGGTAACTGATTAGTGAATTTCAAGAACTTTTTTGTTTATAAATATGTTTTTATTCAGTTTTGGATTTAACTCGTGTTTTAAAATCACATTAAAGTAATAAATTGATCTATAATAGTTAAATTGAAATCTTATTTTAGGCTCCTGAAGTAATCAGAATGAAAGACCCTCATCCTTACTCATTCCAGTCTGATGTCTATGCTTTTGGTATAGTTTTGTACGAGTTGATTACAGGGCAATTGCCCTATGCTCGTATCAACAACAAAGACCAGGTTTGTACATCAGATATACTTACATTGATCATGCTTATTAAAAACATAGTGATAGCAGTGCAAAAGCTGTATTTATGTAACTGGTTTGGAACTTTGTTTTCCTCCAAAGTTTTTAACCTTGTGCTTGTTAAATACCTCATATTAGATATTTGTATCATATATTTATTTAATGCTAAAAAATATTAAACTTTGTATCTAATGAAATGCTTTTAGAACAAATGATGAGTCTCATTTTATGCATCATGTTATAAATGATGGCTATTAATTGATTAACTTGTTTCGTTTTTAGATCCTTTTCATGGTGGGTCATGGTTATTTAAGGCCTGATTTAAGTAATGCTAGATCTGACACACCTAAAGCTCTGATTAGACTGATTGAGGATAGTGTTAAGTTTAATCGAGAAGAAAGGCCTCTATTTCGACAGGTAGGTTATGTTTTCTTACAATAAGTTATATGATTTGAAAATTTATCTTTTATATATAGAACATCACCTCTTTAATGGTTATAAATATTAATTTGTATTAGATTCTTGCATCACTGGAGTCCTTGGCTCGTTCTCTTCCAAAGATCCATCGTAGTACATCAGAACCAACACTTAATCGAACTCATCTCCAATCAGAAGACTTTACTTATAACTGTGCCTCTCCTAAGACACCGAGTCAGTTTGGAACTTTTCCTTTTTTTTGATTTATGTGATTAAACTGATCAAAAAAGATCAACACTAAGCAAAGATGGTGCCTCTCAAAGTTAAGAAGTGTTTAATGGACATTCTGCTTCTCACTGGAGTGGTCTTAGACATCGATCTCTCAGCAGCATGTCGTAAAGTATTTAATTAATTTAAAGATGCCAAATCAGCTGAAATGTTGTATTTATATTGTTTCTTCCATTGACAAATAACTAGGAAGACTTGTAAAATATTCATTGTAATTTCTGTGTTGGCCTCTATCTTGGAAAAAATAAAGTTAGCTGTTCGTAGGCTTTGTTCTGTGTTGATATGTGAAGGTCAGTCATGATACAGAATATATACCTTGACCATTCATTAGTTTAATGAAGTGCATTCTGCTCTTAGTAAGTTGCAAAACAATACATCTGCAGTGAACAAGTCACATGTAATATTATTTTCTAAAGTGAAACATGCATATTATTTGGAACTAGAACCATTGTCCTTTTTTAAAAGAGGAATGTGATGCATTGCAAATATAGGGTATGAGCAGTAGATGAACTACTGAATACTACAGAATGGTAGCACCTGGACACTTTACAAATCCAGGGAGAAAAAGACCTGAAATATTTTATTTTATTTTGAAATATGCAATATTAGAGGGGAAAGAGTTACCAAGTTATCTGAATTTCCCAAACAGATACGGTCTGTCTGAACATATTTCACTGCTGTACTATCCACACTTGAAAATTACATATTGCCTCTTTTAAAGTTTTCATTTTCACTAACATTAATTCTAACCATTTAATTGCCAGACTTAAAACATTACAATAGCATATGAAAGTCTTTCATATGTCCATCTGAGTGAGTTATCTACATATTCGTGAGACAGACTGCAAAGTAAAGAGATTTCTAAAACAGACAGGATGTATTGTGAAGAACCTGTGTCCCAACATTTTTGTAATTACAAACACCATCTTTGTATCTCAAACTAGTTGTTTTAAGGTTTCCTACAATTAAGTATGAGAAACAGTACCTTATATCGTAAGAACCCTTTCTCATCAGGATTTAATAATGTTTCCTTTTGACTTTTTTTTTTATTGTGACCTCCCTTTTACTTTTACATTGAGTCACATTTATTTAATTAATGTATTGTGTATCATTTAACATGCATCATTTTACTATACATGTCACGAGGTTTTAGTGATATTCAAAATTTTATTAAACTACTTTTTGTTTATGTTATACCAATTAGTATAGCATAAAATCGTAGCCAAGAATCTATATTATAAGGTACTATTTTAAAAAATCCTTTATTTTCTCTAAGCATCCCCTCTTCTCTATTTTATTCACCACTCCTCTAGTAAGTACAAAATTTCACTTAAATTACTCAGATAAACCATAATCTTTAGCCTTCAATTTTGTTTGGTTACATAGCCATCAAATAGAAAATCAGACCCCTCTTGCCACACCCTCTTATGTTTAATTCTATATTATCTATCAAATGATGTATTATATTACATTTTCTGGACAGAGAATTGTCAATTTACTATTAGTGCAAGTTTCATTCCCACAGGAAAGATAAACAACTAGCTTAGATGAATTTATAACAGCTCTTGTCTGCCAAGTCCACTGGCGAGCGAGGCATGTTATGATGCGTGGCAGTG